ATGATATTTACACAGTTCTTATTAAATGGAATTTTACCAAGGTAAGACTGTCACTGTAATGCAGACATACTTATCATAGAGCATGATGTATCTCAAGGTGCATGGACATATGAACTCTAATCAAGGTGTTATTCAATTAATTATTATGCCTATTTATTTAAGATGGTGGGAACGGATTAGATTAGCAGTCACCTGACTGTTATTTTCTGATCCTATTCTCACTTATGTTCTTGCATTGTATTTAGTTTTTGATTCTATTTGTTATAATAAGGAGAATAAAGTTATTATTATTATTAATTAAATGTGGAAATGCAGGTACTGCATGTTTATGTATAGGTCATTATTTTTTGCATAAGGAATTATGTTAATTTATCTATGCATGTACTTATATGGTCATTTAATTACCATCTTGATTTGCCCATTTTTGAATGCATATACATTATAATTAAAACATAATTAAAGAGTAACGAGCTGCATTTTTTAGCTGTGCTGTCGACTTTGTCGAGCGGAGCTTATCATATGAGTGATTGTCCGTCGTCGTCCGGTGTCCATTGTCCGTGTCAATGTTTTACATTTTCGACTTCTTCTTGAAAACTACAAGTCTGAATGCTTTGATACTTGGTGTATATGTACCTTGGGTAGACCTCTCTCAGATTTGTTCATTTCATGATCATATCTTCAATTCTCTAATTTTGGTGAATATATTTGTCATTTTTGGTAAAAAGTGATATTTTCAACTTCTTGTTAGAAACCGCAATTCCAATTGCTTTGATATTACATATATAGGTACTACATGTGGACCACTCTCAGATTTGTTCATTTCATAATGATATCTTTAATTTTCTAATTTCGGTGAATATTTTTGTCATTTTTGGTAAAAAGTGATACTTTCGACTTCTTGTTAAAAATGACAAGTCCAACTGCTTTGATATTACATATATAGGTACGACATGTGGACCTCCCTCAGATTTGTTCATTTTGTAATGATATCTTTAATTCTCTAAATTTGGTGAATATTTTTGTCATTTTTGGTAAAAAGTGATACTTTTGACTTCTTGTTAAAAACCACAAGTCCAATTGCTTTGATATTACATATATAGGTACTACATGTGGACCACTCTCAAATTTGTTCATTTCATAATGATATCTTTAATTTTCTAATTTTGGTGAATATTTTTATCATTTTTGGTAAAAAGTGATATTTTCAACTTCTTGTTAAAAACCACAAGTCCAATTGCTTTGATATTACATATATAGATACTACATATGGACCACTCTCAAATTTGTTCATTTTATGATGATATCTTCAATTCTCTAATTTTGATGAATATTTTTGTCATTTTTGGTAAAAAGTGATATTTTCTTCTTGTTAAAAACCACAATCATTTATGGTCAAAAATGATATTTTTGAATTCTTGTTGAAAACAGCAAGTCCTATTGCATTGATACTATACGTATTGTTCATTTTCTAATGATATCTTCTGTTCTTTAATTGAAATGTGCATTACTAACAACGGAGCTATCTCAGCCGAGAGGCTGCTTGTTTAAAATTTGTATTTGCAATTGTGAAAATAATCATTTTCACAAGGTTGAGAATTAATAGGAGTAAAATTATGCGGACATGCAGCTTGCATGTGAATTTCATTCAGCGTGGTCAAACCAGGAAAGCTGTGTATCCATTACAACATATCGATTTACAAACAACACTGACAGTCAGAAAATTAGTAGTTTAGCATAGATCAAATCAAAACTCCAACTTATCTATTGAGCTTGCAGTCTTGTATAAAGTTTCATATAATGACTTAATATTTGGTGAACTGTAGCTATTTGGGTTTAATGCAGTACACAGAGATGCCATACTATGACTATTTTATTAACTATTAATATTGTTTGTTTTAGTTTTTAGTTGACAAGAATGGTCAGCCTGTCAAACGTTATTCTCCCAATACAGAACCATTCGTGA